CTTTCGTGGTTGTTGGTTGGAGGTGGCTCGAGGGATCAGTTGAGTACAGTGTGGTTGGTTGGCTCTCATATCTGTTGGACAATTTGAAATCCAAGTGCTGAAGAATTAAGATGGGCCGATCATAAGTTTCATGTGTTTCATATTTTGCCAACTTTTTTAAGACTTTTAATTGACCTACTATATTCACTCTCTCTTTTTATTTAATGTTTACTTATCGGAGATTGGTTATACAACTTCTGAAGACTGTAATTGAGTATGGTACCTCATTTTGCGAATTGTGCCATTGCTAATATAGGAAGACAGCGAGAAGACAGGCAAGGTTACATCAGCTGGAATGTACTTCTTGCATTTTCAAGTGTACAGAATGGATTCAACTGTAAATGCGGTGTGTATTCTTTACATCTCGTTTTTTTATTGTTTTTGAACTGTACAGGCTTTTAACCCTTATGCAAATATGATAAAATGTACGTGTGGTGTAGTTGGCAATGGCAAAGGACCCAGAAGCTGCTTTCTTCAAAAGACTCGAAGGCCTTCAACCTTGTGAGGTCTCGCAACTAAAAGCCGGCACTCACATATTCGCTGTATATGGTCAGAACTCCTTTTGACTTTGCTTATTATGTTGACTTTCTGTAGCTTATGAATCTGGATAGTAATCATTGCACAAATTGCTGTGATGCGTGCAGGAGATAACTTCTTCAAACCTGCTACATATATGATTGAGGCTCTTTGTGCAAAGACGTACGAAGATACAACTACTAAGCTTAAGGATATCGAAGCTCAGATTTTGAGAAAGAGAAGTGAGCTACGCCAGTTTGAAACAGAATATAGAAAGGTAGTCCTCCTTATTACCGTTGGTTATTATGTAATTCACAGTTTGGAGTTTTCGAAAAAGTTCTAATTGTATTATAACCCCTTGCTCCTCTATATTTTCAGGCATTGGCACGATTCCAAGAAGTCACAAATAGATATACTCAGGAGAAGCAGTCTGTAAGTTTTCGTCCAAGAATCTCTCGTATTTGGTTGTTTTTTTTTTGTCGGGTTTTCCTTGCATTTATTACAAGTCTTCTAGTGCAAAGTATCCTCTTAATCTTGTCACAGTTTCTTAGTCATAAATATGTAGAGCTCAACTACAGAAGCAAAGGAAAAAAAATTTGATCTTCTGTATACATTCGTTAATCATATTATTGAAATAAGCAATTACTCCAAGTTTTACGAACAAATCACCAACTTCTACTTTTTCAAAAGCTTTTGCAAATACCAACTTAGAGGGTGTTTGGCTAAGCTTATTTTAAACAGCTGATAAGCTCTTACGTCTGATAAGATGTTTTTTGATCTGATAAGCTGTTACATCTTATTTTTAGGATTATTTTTTAGAGTGTTTGGATAATGAGCTTATTTAATATTCTTACACATTATAAGATCTTAAATAAAAATGTGGGGTAGAGGTACTTATTTAAAAAGATCTTATTTGCTCTCCAACAACTTATTTTTTTAAAAATTAAGATCTTTTTATAAAAAACTACCAAACACTTTGGAAGAACTTATAAGCTCCAAAACATCTTATAAGCTCTTCTATCCATTAGTTGTTGATCGAATATTTTTGCATAATGGGCTCTTTCTATTTTCTGGTCAATGATTTTTTGTATTGATTAAACCTCCTCAACTCTTTACATTTCGATCGTAGCTTCATATTGTGCGCTATTATTATGCTTGCGCAGGTGGACGAGATGCTAAAACATCGGGATAGTATACACTCTTCTTTTACTGTTGCAAGATCTGTTGCTTTTCCAACTGGGAGTGGTTATGTTAGCAATGGAAGTAGCAGCAAATTTACAGGGGAAGATAATAAATCCGAGACTAGTCCCGGTGACGAAGGTAGTTCAGATTCAAAGGATAAATCTTCAAAGAAGAAATGGTTCAATCTTAACCTCAAGGGATCCGATAAAAAGTGAGACCTTACTGAGGTTTGAAGTTCTTTCTTCGCGCAATTTTTTTTGTTAATTTTTGTTTTTTTTTTTCGACTCGTAATTGATGTCTTATTATGGGGTTGTTACTATCTATTATTCTCGATCTCTTCCCCATGGATTGCGATAGTATTTGCTGTAAAATATTGAAAATTATAGTAGTTTGTTGTGTAATTAAATGTTTATTCTTGGAGTGTTCAATATCTGGGTTCGAAGCTCGGAGAGTTTGTAGAATAGTACAAGGAATCAATTAGATTTTTTTTTATTTTATTATTCTTATTGTTGTTGTAACAATGATTTTGTTCCGCATCGGCTGCGTTCGGCAAAAGGGTGTCGAGATATTATGATTGTGTTTATATCGAACATTTTGATATTACATTTTGTTTTGTTGATTTGTATTGAAATGTTGATGGAAGAGTTTGTTGAGAGAGAAATCTTTTCATTTTTATTACAGAGCAAGGACGCGTTATTATTGTTGAAGCGTGAATGACATATGAGAGATGCGATGGAGAAAAAAAGATTTATCCGAGTGGCCAAGTGTTGTTCGATAGTTGGAGCTGGTTCTTCAGAAGCTTCTACGTTTTGTTTTAGTTCGTTCTTGTCTCGTCAAGTCACGTACATTGACACCAGAGAACCAGACCTGATGGATTTTAAGTGGGTTTTTAGTAGATACAACTTTTGTTACATAGTTAACGACATTGAGGCCCCCACGAGCTGGTCATGTGATACAATCGCCAAATATGCGACTGCGGTTCGATTTTTGACGTGAAAAGATCCAAATACCTTTTATATTATAAATAGCTCCAAAAATAGCTCCAAATAAAGTTTTCAATTTTTTCAATTCAATCCCTTGAAGTTTCAAAAAGGTCCTCTTCTTCCTTGGTCAGAGCAGGTTTCTTGATCATTCACGTACATTCAATGCTGCTCCGAAGGTTGTGCACCTCTATTTGTGATCAAACGCCTCAGAGAAGTTCTAATTATTTTAACGTAAGAGCTTTTTTAGCCGTTAGACATTAAATAGGGGGGCCTATGCAAATAACTCGATAAACTTCTATAAATTAATATAGTTGGGACTAGGGGTGACAGTCGGATGGGTCGGATCGAAATTAGCCTTTTCGGAATCTTAAAATTCATTCCAACTCCAAAAGGTCCGGAAATTCGGTATTTCGGAAAAAAAAAACGGAAATCACATAAGCTTTAAAATTTCAAAATTTAGCGGAAATTTTCAAAAATGTTCATAATTTTCCAAAAATAAGAACATCCATGTTGATAAAAGTAAAACTAATAAATTACTAAATTTTAGTTCAAAAAAATATATAAAATAAAAACAATATAATATCCAATAAAACTTCTAACAACAATTCATTATTTTAAAATCCTAAAACTAAACTTATAGGTGTATTTTTGGAAAAATAAGTATTATATAATATATATTATTTATGGGTGTATTTTTCGGAAGAAAAAAAAAATCGATATTTTTTGGGAAAAAATCGGTATTTTTCGGAGAAAAAACGGAATTTTTCGGAATGAATTTCAGAAATTAAATCGGATCGGAAATTCCAAATTTATTTTATATAATTCCAATTCGGATCCAAAAAAATCGAAAAAACTCGGAAATCGAAAATTTGGAAGTCGGAATGAAAAAAGTTGTTCCAAAATCGGAACTTTTCGAATCGGAACCGGCGGAAATTGAAATTTCCGTTCCAACTTGCACCCCTAGTTGGGACTAACAAAATTTTAATAATTTAGCGAAAAATATAATCAAACTAATAATTTAGATTTGGGGCTTAAGATATAGGTCCCTGGTGACAAAACTTATTAGAATTAAATGACAAGCCCAACTAAACATTTGCTTCACATCCTTTATAAAATTCATTCCAAAAATACCCCTTCACCCAGTATTAAGTAAATTCAAACTGCATTTATCATTTTTTTTTTGCATTTAATACTTTCATTTTTCCATCTAACTTTTTTAATTATTTGTTTTACAGAATACCATTTTGTCTTCGTTTTTTGTTTTTTTCTTCATTTCAAAATTTTGTACAATTTTATAAAAAAAACTTTGTTTTTATACATAATATTGAAAATTACAAAAAAATATGTTATCTTTTTTCATTTTTTTAATTCAATTTACATATTTTTCAATTTTTTATTTTATTTTTATTTTTCTTCTATCAATAAACATATTAATCTGTAGTTATCGTAGTCGCTACCTTCGCTTGTAGATATCTAAAACTTGAATTTCATTTCATCGCACATCCCTATATGTTCACAGTGTAGTAGACTGTGGTGTACTATAGTATCCTCTATATATTCACATTGTGGTGTACTATGGTATCCTCTATATATTCGTAGTCTGTAGTACACTATAGTATACTACGATGTAATATGGTATACTATGATTTACTACGGTGTCTATTCCAAACCCTAGCCGCCAACCCTAGCAGTTAAAAGCAACCTCCGCCCAAACCCTAGCAGCCAAAAGTCGCAGCCGTCGCAACCGTAGTCACCTACCCCTTTTGAAAAATCTAGAGCTGCAACAAACCGAAAACAATAACAAATCATATCCAAACCAAGAAAAAAAACTTTTAAAAATAAAAAAAAATCAAATCCAATTAGTCAAAATATGCTTGCAATTATAGATCTTTATAAAAAAAATGAAGAAAATCGATTTGTTTATCTATTTCATTACCAAATCATTATAAAAAAATAAATAGAGAAAGACTCGCTCTCCGCCCGCCGCACAACCCGGCTGCACAGCCCTTTGCAATCACCGACTTCTCCACCACTGCCTACGCTGGACCTGCTCTTGCTCCTTTCGTGGCCGCCGCCGGCGACCTTCATGGAGAAAGGAAGTGAGAGATAGAGATGTGACAAAGAGAGAAAAAACGAGAGAGAAAGAGGGAAGAAGAGGAAACGCAAGAGAGAGATGGAGAGAGAAAGTGAGATAAAATATGAAAATAAGAGAAATAGATCTGAATTAGAGAAACTTGAATATGTAGGTTATAAGATTTATGGTATAATGGCAATATAGGGATAAAAAAAACTTTAGAGATGTTGCTCATATATTATTTTAACCTAAGAATGTAATTAAAAGATTTGATTTGAACTTGTCATTTAGTTCAAATTAGGTTTGATTTAAGGGACTCATAGCGTATTACCCCTTTAGATTTTAAACTAGGGCAAATTGTATATAACCCCAAGACGGGGACTTAAATGCACATATATTCATATCAAAAACAGTTTTGCAAATAACAAGCCCCATGTACTTTTCCTAAAATACCCCTCATCCATTGAACTCTAACTTTACCAATATTACACATTGACCCAAGATTTAACAAATATATTACATTCAACCCATTTCATAATTTAAAAAAAAATCCTTGGATTTTTTTTTTCTGGCTATCCGGCGTCGACTTTTTTTTTTTGAATTTTTTTTCCGGATTTTTTCGGTCAGTCTCCGGCGTTAATTTTTTTTAATAACCAACACAATAATTTTACTGTCTCAGACGGTAGAATTGATGTCTGAGACAGTAATGTTGTTGTCATAGACTGTAAAAATACTGTTATTACTACATTCGACAGTTATATTACTGTATGGGACTCTTATTATGCTGTAATATTGCTGAGACCATTATATTACCATCTCAGATTGGTAAAGTACTGGTATT